CTTCTTCTCCTTGCGATCACGCATGACCGTGCCGCAGAAGATCGCCAGCCCGTTGGGCGGGGGGCGCGAGATGAGCTTCACGCGATGCTGGATCGATTTCAGGGCCTCGATGACCGAGTTGCGCATGACGCGGCTCTTGATGCTGGAGGCCGCGCCCTGCTCCCTCGTGAGAAGCTTGCTGATGTTGGACATCTGGTAGTTGGGGGGAACGATGATGGTGATGCACGAGGTGCCGTTGCCCTTGGCGCTCTCCAGCTGCTCCACGATCTTCTTCTGGCGCCACGCCTCGACGCTGTCCATGTCGAAATTGACGGTACTCATCTTGGTAGGGGTAGGGGTAGTTTGGGAGACTAGTCTCTGTGGGGGGGGGGTAATGCTCGAGTTTGCAGTAATCGGAGGGATCTCGATTTCGCGTTTTGTGGCTCAGGCACGGCGGATTCACAGAAAAGGGAGCACGGAAGATTTTCAGAATGCCTCCCATGCTTTGAATTCCCCACTTCTATTTGTCGTTTCTCGGCCCACATGCACATGATTGGTTGAGAACTTTGTGCCGGCCCACACAGAAAAGGTCGGTGCAGGGCGGGGTCTTTAGGCGAACGCACCAACATGAACGCAGCGGCCACCTGCAGCAAGCGCAAGGAGAGGGACTCGCATGGGAGCCCTCCCGCTGGTGGCGCCCACCTGGCTGGGGAGAAGAGGGCAAGGAAAAGAAGGCGCACCAGGCACGACCAACCAGAACCGCAGGCCCATTGTCTGGCCAGCAACAAGTACCTGGCCTTGAGCGTCACTTCGGCCCACCTGCTCCAAGAGGAGTACCGGCAGGGCGCCACCCTCGCGGTGCACGAGCTCCACTACCTAAAGGGCAACAACAAGGAGAAGAAGGAGGAACTCCTTCAACATCTTGACGACCACTCAGACGGCCCAGCGCCCACCTACAGGCTGGGCGCCCAATTGGAGCTCTTGGGCTCCAACGGGGTACGTTGGCACATGGCCGAGCCCTATGTGAGGTGTGGAATGACCCCCTTCTCTTATACTCATGCAGTGCGCACTGGCGTGTGGCAAGTGCTGGCCCAAGCACGGAGCCAGCCTTGTGAAGATCAACCACCGTGGCGGCCCTTTGATTGCGACCCCATTGAACATCAACATCAAGATCAAGGTACAGTGTCTGCGTGTGAAGTCCCCGTTTTCATGTAGAGCTGAAAAAAAGACTGTCTCTCTTTGCAGGTCATGTGCTGCTCCTTCCATCATGACGACCAGCCACTGCAGGTCCGGCTGTGGATCGACAGCGGCCACCATCTCCTTGAAGGCACCATCGCATGTGCGCTCCCACTTGTTGTCCTCTACACTGCTTCACAAGCAGCCCTAACGCCCAACGTTGCATGTGACAGTGGGTGTCATCATCGCCAACCGCGAGACCAAGAGGGCCTTCGCCCTCGCGACGGCACCCCTGCCTAACTCTGTCCATCTGCGCCCCACCATCAACCTCGACGACCTGGATTCGACGTTCCTCCTGACGAACGAACGCGCGAACGACCACGACCATCGCCAGCCCTGCCAGGCCGAGACCGACGATGCCCCTCCCCTGCCTCAGCTGTCCGACGCCGCCAGCCACCAAGACTCCTCTGCGATTTGCTCGCTCTCTCTCAAGGAAATCGAGCACCTCGTGGAAGTACTCTTTGGCCACGGCGTCGAGTCGGCTCAGGCAAGGGAGGAGATCAACCGTCTCCCCTACTAATAAAACTTTTCAAAAATAAAACAACATGAAAATGCAATGTTGGAAATAAAATAAAAATAACCTTAATACCACCATAAAATAAAATAACCTTGTCTCGTGCCGCGTTTCTGGCTCACCAGAAGGAGGGCGACCGAAGCAGGGAGTTCTCGAAGCTGTTGAGCTCCCACTTGTAGTCGAAGTAGGACACCTTGAGCCGATCGGCGTTGGTCGCGATGAAGAGCTTGGTCGCCGGGCTGGTGTCCATGTAGGCCAGTATGTAGTTGATCACGCTGCCGTGCTGCCGCGCGATCGCGTCCCGATTCCACTCAAAGATGGGCGACAGCTTCAGCGAGAGGCTGTTCCTGTCCAGCGAGAGCCCCTTGCCTAACCCCCACCACCCATCACCGAAGAAAGACGATCAGTGGTCGGCGCAGGGCTCAACGCGGGCCACAGTGGTGATCACTGCACGTGAGGGCTGCGTACCGGTGTCATTGAGGTATAGGGCGGCGGAGAGGTTCATCTGCGCGTCGAGCGTCTGCGGGAGGTAGGCGGTGTTGAGGAGCGAGGGACACGACACGCACGCGCTCACCATGCACGACCACGCCCGCGAGTCGTTGAGGCTCCCGACCACCGCCTGAATCTGACGCAGGGTGTAGTCCCTGTTGCCGATCTTACCCACCGCCACGTCCCAGTTTTTCTTAAACCACACAACATACGACACGCACACACGACACGACACGACACGCATGACACGACACGACATGCGACACGAAGTCAGACCACGTGCATGGGTCGTTGTGGGGTGATGGCACAGTACCTGGCCAAGCCCGCCGAGCGCGCGGATGCTCCGGGCGGGCCAGCAGAACTTGCCGAACACCACGCGGCACGGGTTGTTCACCACCTGACGCACGGCGAACGCATTGTACGCATTCTGCGCATCATCGCGCGCACATGTCTCCGGCGTGAGAAAGCAGCGCGTGGCCCGAGAGCTGAAACAACAGACGTTTGGCTTGGGGAGCGCGGCGTACGAGCCAGAAGGCCAGCGTCTCCTCTCGCGAGCCGGACAGCGTGGCGGGGTCAAAGTCGGCCAGCTTGTCGAGGTAGTTGGCGAAGTCGGGGTCGGCTCGCCGACGCAAGGTCTCGTAGTCCACCACCGTCTCCTGTATGCCATCGATCTTGGCTGCGGGCCATATATTCATGGATTAATAATAAATATAATTCATTAATATTTAATATTGAGAATAATTAATATTTGGGGCGGGGGGGGGCACGGCGAAAGAGCGAAGAAAGCGACAAAGAACGAAGCGAAGGGTTGGGTGGAGTTACCAGTGGAGGCGTAGGATTGGAGGACGCGTGTCCATAAAGTGTGATCGAACCCCGCCGGCGCTACTGGCGAGGTGACCTCGCTCGCCGCCACAAGCGAGGCGAGCACGACGAGGAGAAGACAGGGCAAGAGCGCAAGGTGGCATCGTGTCCGTCGCTCCATGTTTGTTTTTGCGCCAAGCAAGACGTTTTTCAACGTTGCAACTGAAATCTCCTTTTCTCTTTCATTAGGGCTAGGAAATTCTTTTCTCAAAGCCTTTCTTTGGAGAGAAAACTGCTTTTTCGCAAAGCTGGCTTTTGTTTTCTTCGAAACGACATCAGTTTGGTTCAACACTTTGATCCATGAAGAGGAAAAGGGAAGGCCTCGAGGCCGAAGCAGACAAACAAGGTGGGTAGGAGCTGGAGGCTCCAGACAAGGTCCGACCACGAAAAGAGGAGGGTTGTAACTCCGGCGGCCACATGGACCACCTGGCCCTGGAGCTCGTGGGCCTCGTCCTGTGCCACGTCGACCACCTCTCTCTGCCCGTGTGCCGGGCCGTGTGCCGAAAGTGGTCGGATGCCCTCGCCGCACAGTGCCTGCCCGAGGGCGCCAGTGACGGCGACGGCGACGACAAAGGAACCACCGCTACGTTGGCCGATGCCGCGGCCGAGGTGGTGGCCGAAGAGGAGGACGGCGAGGAGAACTACTGGAACTATGCGGGGCGGCTGGCGGCCCACGGCCGGCTGACGGTGCTGCAGTGGGCCCGCGCCCAGGGCTGCCCGGTGGACGAGATCGAACACGCCCGTGGCCACGCGGCCAGGACAGGCCACCTCCCAGTCCTCCAGTGGCTCTACGACATTGTCGACAACGAAGACCACGATGACGAAGACGAAGACGATGACGATGACGGTGACGGCGACGGCGACGGTGATGGTGACGACGATGCCACAGTCGAGCAAGCGGCCAAGGGTGGCCATGTGGCGGTGCTCGAGTGGCTGCGGGACCGTCGGGGCTGCGCATTCGCTGACGCCAGGCTGTGCGAGCTGGCGGCCGAGCAGGGCCAGCAGGCGGCGGTTCAATGGTTACGCGCCAATGGCTGCGCCTGGGACGAGCGCGCGTGCTATGCCGCGGCCCACGGCGGCCACCTCGCACTGCTGCAGTGGCTGCGCTCTGA